TCAGTTCAACAGACGCGGCAGCGCGAGGCGCACGTGAACTGATCATCTCCTCCACATTAATACCAGTTTCAGCACAAAATAAACATGACTAAACATCCGAAGGTAAGTTAAAAAAAAGAGTACAACTTTACAATCCATATCCTGTCTCATGTAATCGCTCAATCAGTGTTTCAGCTGCGCAAGGACATCAATATAACGTCTTGTAAACAATGTGTCACGTATTGTCACATTTACCTCAGAAAAAACATATTCGGTGACCATAAACTCATTAGTCAGATAGAAAAATAAACTGTATACAGGGGCATTTTGCTAAATATATGCACCATATAACATTCATTATAATTTTTTACTGTTCTTTAATGTTTTATTTATGTTTGAATAAATCCGTCCAAGTTGTTATGACAGCCACTATTTAAATGTTTATATTTAAAAAAAAACTGAAGTAATTGTAACTTAATTATTATAAAAACTTCATGAAGCGCAATTTAAGCAGTTGTACAGCACAAATCAGTCAATTTTAACCTTCAATATTATAATGTAGAACCAACTGACCAACTGGCAACAGTAACTGGTCTCTGAATAATATCTGCGTCATTATGGACACAGAGCTGCTATGAATTCAATAATCAATTGTTTTTTTTCAGTGGCACCATAATGACCTGCACCAACTAATTTCAACATCAGGATTGGTGCAACAGTTGAAACAAGAAGATTTCTAAAATATGGTAGATTTAAGCAACTACTTGCCTTATTTATATGCAAAAAACTAACTGCAAAACTAAACAAAGTATGGGACCCTGACACTTGGGAGGGGTCAACTAAAATAGTTACACAGCTGCACAAAGGCAACATGTCCCAAAGGAAACCCCCACCCTCCCTTACGACGACCCTGCATGTTATGAGTTACGTTATGAGACAGAACACCACACCCTTTGAAAGATTCTCAACAATTTCAGAATGCATGCCGTCAGCCTTTGAGGAAACAGGACGAGGAGAACAATGAACATCGATGTATTTGTTTCCGAAACACACTAGACTGTCTACACTGTTGTACAGAGACCGACAAAAGTGTTAAAATCCAGACGCTGATATGACAGGCAGTGCAAGGTTATTTCATAATGCGCAATTGCACAGAGGCACCAGATCTGAAAATAGGCCTCAAGTGCTGATTAAGGGCAACTAAAAATCTAACTGGAAAAGTCATATTATTAAAGATATAGCTTTTATGTCTCATAGAGATTAGTTTCTGTGTCTGATTTTAAGAACATTACATTTTATGTAACATTCAGAACATTTTAACTACTGGTTTATTGCTTTTTAGCAAATATTTTAATAAAAAAAAATTATGAATATAAATACATCATGTATGACTACTGGTGTTATTTATGCCATTGAAATTACGCAAAATTATTTTGCGATCTAAATGGTTGCACATTTATTTTCATCTCTGGTGCCAATTACTAATAATTATCCAGAACTAAATTTATTTTTTAAATGTATTGTATTTGTTTGAGCAAGTAATTTATTCCTTTATTTTCCTATTATTACATTTATTTATTATTTTTGCAAGCTTTGTCTTTCATTTATTATCAGCAGGTCTGATTTTAATATCAAACCAATTATCTGTCTGTCAATTATAATGAATAAGGGGCCCAGTATGAATATTGCAGTTTATAAGCAATGCATGCTAATGTCTGAACACAAAAACATTCATCTTTTTGACTTCAGGAGCTTTTTTATTTGCTCAGCAGGGCTGTTGGCATGTCAGCAGTTGGCATGCATATTAAGTCACTGCTTCACTATAAAAGTCTATGGCTTCAAAAAGCAATGGTGCAAAGCGTTAAAATTTTGCAGGCATTTTCAGAGGCAGATTTGTTTTTTTAAAACACTTTGCATAAACCAGAACTTAAGACAGTGCAGTACAGAATATAATATAGTGACAACATAACACACTATCCATTACTCCATTACTCCATCCACACAGTTTAGCCAGATAAGAGCAATTTAATTATTAATAAAATAATTATGACCTGCCTTCAAAGAGTTTATACAGCATATATTTTATTTTAATAACAGTCCAAACATTGTTATACCAGAGGTTTTCCAACATTCACACATTTTATACGAATAAACCATTATCTAACCAAAACTCAAAGCTATGGTTATGCATGTTTATAATAAACACTGTACATTTAAGAAGACCATCAGGAAACAATAAAAGCCAAGCAAAAGCCCAGGCCTCATTTCAGAGCATTAATCCAATGACAGACCTAGAGAGAAACAGGCGCTGGGTGGACCATCTATATAGCCTGAATGCATATGTCTAATTCACATTAAGCCAATGAAAATACACAAATTGTGTATTCTGAATCGATAGAACAAGGTACACTGTTGAAACGAATGTCTTTGTTTGGAAGAGCATTTGGAATTGGAGGTTGCTGGTTTATCTGCAAGTACTGATGCCTTCCCTATAAACCTAATTAATATAATTGAGTTAGGTTTTTATTTAATCATTTAAAATGTCCCTATGCAGTCACATAGATTTAAATGAATCCTGCACACTGTCCTGTATCCGCGCATGTTTCATTTATAATCTAGCCGTGAATATAGGTTAGCTCTCTGCAGCTAACGACTCCATTGGGCAGGGCAATGAAAAGCTTGTCTGAAAAACGTATATAATTCATGATATTGGCATAACAATGTAATAACAGTACATTTATAGTAAAATGAGAGAGGCGTGCTGTTCTGTATATCATTAAACAGATGAAAACGGTCGTTGAAACGCCCAGCACGGCCCTCAGCATAGCAACCGCGACATAAACCCAAGCATTCCTTTAGTTTTGCACCAAAACGTCCAGGTATTGTGCTTTCTTTGTAAAAATACAGAACTGTACAACTGAAATGTTGTATAATATCCTACCTTGCCGAAGGATTTGCTCTGTTTTTCTGGGGCTGGGTGACGAGTCCTCAACGAATGAAATAGCAGCGTAGCGCGAGCGATCGAATGGAACGCGCTGCGCGTAGTGCGCGAGACAGTGACATCATTCACTGCAGCAACGAGCCGAACGCTGACGGAAAATGCCGAAGCTGTCTAGTGCGCCCCATAGTGCTTTGAACTTCTGTGTTCTACATAAAACAAAATAAATATATTTATTTATATTTCTGTATATAACATAAATAAATGCTGGCTCATTTGATTTTGCAATTTGCTGCTGAACGTCAATTTTGGATAGTTGATCAATTTAATTTGGTGAATTTCCTGACTGTAATGAATTTAATTGATTCTGTGTCTATTTGTTAAATTCCTGGCAGTACTCCTGGTCTGGAAAACACTGCCATAATAAATATGGCTGGCATTCTAGGATTTCTGCTGTATCACAGTGTCTTGGCACATCCAGGTGAAATTTGCAAGAATGCCTATAGACTAAATAAAACAGGACAATAATCAAAAAAGACCAACTGAAACAATTCAATTCAAGTTTATTTGTATAGCGCTTTTCACGATACAAATCGTTGCAAAGCAGCTTTACAGAAAATTACGTTTCTACAATATATTTAGTAGTAACTTATCAGTGGTGATGTTATCAGGAAGGCTATTCCAGAGTTTGGGAGCCAAATGCGAAAAAGCTCTACCTCCTTTAGTGGACGTTGCTATCCTAGGTACTACCAAAAGTCCAGAGTATTGCGACCTTAGGGAGCGTGATGGATTGTAGCGTGGTAGAAGACTAGTTAGGTACGCAGGAGCTAAACCATTAAGGGCCTTGTAGGTAAGTAAACAGTTTCTGAGTCAAAACAGCTTGACAGAGATGATGACAGAGATCATCTGACTGACATAATTTTCTTTTCTGACTAAAGCATTTCTGGTAGTACCTCATGGAAGAGAGTAATACAGGTATTAAAGGAGACATTTTTGTAAATATAGGCTAGCTAATAATCTTTAAAGTATAGGAAAACAGAAATATCATAAAGAGTGAGTAGAGTGCTTTTGTAAACAGAAATAAAAATGACACAATAGAATACATGTTTTAAATTAAACTCAGTCCTCATTTTATTCAGAATACCTTATTTAACGGTCTATTCTTTTGACTTTGGCAGCTAATGGCTTGCAAATCACCCAAGTCTTCCTATAGAGCCGTTCAAGGTGGTAACCAGTTTCTTTCACAGCCCAGTTTTGTCTGTCGTTGAGAATTGCTCTGTTTAACAGTTTTTCTTGAAATAATTGGCATTTTATTAATGTCAATGTTCATTTCTTGAATATGTGCCAGAGAAAAAGGGAGGGTACAGAAGATTTAGCAGAGAGGAGCAATGTAGCAAAATCTGACTTCAGGAAAATGAAGGAAAAAAAAGCGTATAATAAAAGGAAAACAATGTGTCATGACAATCTAAAGCTAAATCTATTCTATTTTTTATTTAAAAACTTGAATTGGTTTAAGTTAAAACTCAGATAGGCTACCCTATAAATTAAGAATCACCAATATATATTAGCTAGTAAGTTAACTTTTTATCCTTTTTTATAACTTTTTTTGAGGCGTCTGAATGCTGCTGCAAAGAAAAGCCCATCCCACAACCATCATGTAAATAAAACACAAATGTATCTATTCACAGGTGATGTGTAAATCGCCCATTACCACCTTTTACACGAACGAGAACCAGCAATCGCCGCACTGTGTATAAAGCCTGTGCATGCAGACATGCAGAATCATTACTCTAGTCTCTGAACTTTGGTTAAGGTCTGTAAACAGAGCTGAGGAGATGCAATCGTGTGATTTCTGCGGATACGGCCCGGGCGAGAATACCCACGGTGTCTCATTCAAGTAAGTTTGCGATCAGTTTGCCGTTTAGCGGTAAAACAAAACCGTTCAGTTACTGATTATCTTGTTTCTCTCAGATTCCCTTTAAAAGAGGAACATCGTCGCCACTGGATGGTGAATATGGGGAAGGACGCGGAACGGGCTCCATCTGAATCCTCGTCTCTGTGCTCCTTGCATTTCACTCCGGATTGCTTTGAATCTGGATCAGCGCGTTTACACTCAGACGCGATTCCGACTCTATTTAATTTCACACAATCTACGGTAAGTCTATCTATCTAGACAGACTTAAAATTAGGTTTATTAGAGTAATCATTAGAGCCTTCATTTTTTTTGTATTCACACAGAACCTTCAACAGAAGGTTTTAACAAACCATAAACAATTATATTTCAAAATGCTAAAACTTTTTGTGTTTCAGAATCAAATGCTAAAGGACACTGAAAATCTCCCTCCACAGCAAGGAGCACCTACTGAATCCACCGACTCATCCAGATCATCCTGCTCTGACTGTTATAAACGTCTGCAGGCCACAGAAAGAAATTACCAGCTGAAATTAGCTGCTGCTCAGCTTCAGATAAAAGAGTACAAAAAGAATCTAGTGGAGGAGTCACGGAAAGCAACACAATGGCAGAAGCGAGCAATAGTTTTGCAGAGCGCAATCAGAGCAATGAAACAAAGGGGGTCAATGCCTGTATCAAGAAAAACATCTAACGTTACACCTAAAAATAATCATTTGGACTGAAAAAACACATTTTGACATTGGAGATTAAGTGGAGAAATGCCCTTTCTTTGCAAACTGAAGCACAGCAGTTGTCAAAATACTTTACAAAATACACTTAAAGGCACAATATGTAATTTTCGCCGAGGCCGCATATTCAAAACAAACAAAGAGGCAAAGGCGTAGTTTGATGACGCTGAAACGAGGCCGCTGAACGAGCGCGACACACGACTCGAAAGCAGCGGCGCTTTTATTATGCCACAGTCGACCGCTTCCGCTCTTTCCAGTCGTGTATGTGGGGAAAAAAAGCAGCGGTTTTATCATACTAGATACATTTGAAAGTTCTGTTATAATGCTACTCTGTGCGGTCGTCCCTGGTCTATTAAAACGCACAACATATTAAAGCGTCTTTGGTGTTTCCATGTTTTCTACAAAACAAAACCGGAAATCGAGGGGTTATGACGTCATTGGCAGGTGACACAATGACACTATGGAAACGATCCGTGTCGCTAGTAAAAATTGCTTATTTCTCTGGATTTAAACATTCTTTGATTAAACATTCACACTGTTCTAGTGTTTTTTGGATATTTTAATAAAAAAATCTTACATATTGTGCCTTTAAGTACATATTATACACTTGATATGTATACAAAATATTCTTACCAATTAAAAAATACATGTACTATTGCATTTTTTCTAAGCAACAGTGAAACATTACTGTTTGGATATGTCACAAGACAGGTCATGAGATAAATAAAAGACAAAAAAGTGCAAGTATAACTTCAAACAAAAAAATATGAATGGTTACAGTAATGTAAATGTATAGCCAATAGACATTTTATTACTGAAACTCTATGCTCTCAGCCTACTGACAACAACAATGTAACATTGAATAAAAAGATGCTTTCTGCATTGTTATGATATAGATATATTCACATAATGACCCTGCTATAATTAAAAACAACTTTGGCTGAAAAATAAAAAGATAAATCCTGAGTTTGTTGTCATTTTGTCTCTTAAACCAACTCAAGTACTAAGCTAATACAAATTTAAACAGGTAATTGTGATGTTTTAAATGGTATTTTATGGATATAAGAGATGAATTATGAATTACAAACTCGTACTGTACTTTATACAACCATCATCATACTGTATATACTGATATTATTTAAACTGACAATCATATACTGCAACTACAAAGCCAAGTGTGTGTTTTAAAACCAGATAAAAGCAAAAGCTCAAAAAAGACAATATTCAAATTATTGTACGCGCAGTACAACCTTCATTTTTGATATGTAAATTAAAGAAGAAAAGTTTTGCAAGAAGATAATATCTTGAACTCTCTTTATTGCATAACGGCCACCTTGAGACAGGGCAAAATGACACAAGAATTTGTCTATAAGACCAGAATTCTCATTCTAGGATGGATATGTAATACTAAAAAGAGATCTTTCTTGGTACTCACCAGTAGCACGTACAATGACCATGTTAAATAAATAATCCTTCAAGAGTAAAGTACAATGCACAGCAAAGTCAAGAGGTCATCAGTAGTGACAATTAGACGAATACATGCCAGTCCATGTAAAGGAAGTCTAAAAAGACACCTGAAAGAGTTTTCAGATTGGTGAAGGCGTGCGGAACGAGGATCCAGTGAGAGCAGGATCTCCAAACACATTGACGTAAGAAGATTTGAGGAACTGGACATAGTTCTGGAGGCTGCGGTTTGTGCTGTCGGACTGCTCCAATCTGTCCTTGACGTCTTGTAAACGGCTCTGATACCTCCGCTCAGCCTGTAAGAAAGTTATGGGTGTTTTGACAAATTTTTTACAAAAATATCTAACAGAAATTCACATATGGAGAAATGTCACTGACCTCCTCTTTGGCTCGTCGTAACTGGTTGAGCTCAGTTGTTGTTCTGCTCAGTTGAGTTTCTAGGTCAACAATTTTGGACTGTGTAACACGCTCTTTAGAGGCTGCTCGCTCCCTGGTCTGGGTAACCTGTTAATCAACAGGGTATCTTCAATAAAAAACCGAGCAATGCAAATGATTAAATCCATGCGTTTTTAAAGATGTAGTGGTACAGACCTGTCGACGAGCATCGTCCAGGGCCTCCTCCAGCTGTCGAGCCAGAATACTGCACTCTCGAGACTTTTCTTCCAGACGCACCTGGTTGCTATGAATTGTTTCTTCACGTTTTGAAATTACCTGGATGAGGTCTCGATTTTGGGAGTTAGCCTCCTCTAGCTTCCTGTTGACAACAGAAGATAAAATGAAACCCAAAAATAAAAACACTATAATTTACTGAACCTCATGTCATTCCAAACATGAGTTGGTATGATTATTTTAAGCAATGCATGCAATTTTTAATGCCATGACTTTATGAATTCTGCTCTGATTTAAGATGTTTTTAAGACCCGCAGAAATCCTGTTTAAAGAATGTTAGGAACCAAACAACATTTGAGCCCATGAACAAGAAATACATTTCTTAAAATATCTTTTTATGTT